CACTTACACCTGTAGAGTCTTTCAATCCTAATGACTTAAGTTCCCCACATAACTTCAAAAAAACAGGGGTGGACATCCTGAAATTTTCAAAACATCTATTTTCATGCCCCTGCAAGATCTCCATTATATATGCTTCCCCAGTTAAAAGAGAATCCCTACAAGGTTGTTTATCGTAATGTTTCCTATAATACTCCAACATGCATGCCATTATGATGACACAATCATTCTCCTCATCACCTTCGTCATACAAATCAATTATTGTCCTAATATCCATCTGTATAAGTCAAAATTTAATAAACGAGATTAATTACAATCATCCCAAGCGAAATACCAAATAATAAATAAAAGCAAGGCAACAAATAAAGTTAAATCAGTTCATTAAATAGATATATTGTCATGAGCTTCAAACTAAATAACATAAATTTGAGTGTACTTAATATTACAATCAATTAAAGTCATAACAACACCAAATAAGAAATAAAAGCAACACATCAACTAAAGTATACTTAATAGTACAGTCATCCAAAATCATAATAAAAGCAATATACCAAATTAAAGTCCATTGATCCAACTAACCCTCTTATCATCAGGACAGTCATTAACAAAGAAATCCCTCAAAATTTCATCATTACGTAACATCTGGGTGACCTTACCATATTGTTTCATATTAACACCCTCCAAGTTATTCAAAATATAACAACATAACTTAAAATCACTTTTTGTCTTGTCGGGAGAATTGACTTCAACCTCCACATTTCCTTCATTAACTGTAATCATATTAGATGATGAAGAAGCGACTATGGCTCTTTCAATTCGATCTGCTTTCTCTTTATCTCTCTCTTTCATATAGTGCATAAGCTCGCTCATTGTGGAGGCAAAACTCTCTCTCTTTGGTTTCTTACCACGAGGTTCAGGAGAAGGACTGAACTCATGACCGCTTAACTCAGCAAAATCATCATTAAGGTCAAATGAGGTATGTATGTCTGCATGGTGTGCGGGGGCTTGGTTCATAATGGGTGGACTATACGAAGTATGGACATGTGCACCTGTAGCGTGTGTGCCTCCAAATATGGTGGTGAGCTTGTCAAAATGATTGCATGGCTTCTTTCGATACTTACTATATTGGGCATTCACCTACAAATTATTAAATTACTATTAATATTAAGATAAGTATACTTTTTTGTAAAATCAACAGACATTTATTTTAATAACTAACCTTGATCAATCTATTCCATCTTTCTTTTTCAACTATAACCATGCCTGTCTCAGCATTGAATCCCACGCCTGTTTCTCCTAACAGACTCACAAACGCTTTGTAGTCTGTTCTCAAGTGGTTGAATTTACTCTTAAGTTGTTTCAGTACAAGATTGTTGCCTATACGGACCATCATGCCTTTTAGTATATTCTTCCAACCAATTGCACTAAAAGTTGTGTTACTCCGATTACCAGCCTTCACTTCTTCCTCCATACAGATGATGAAAGCTTCAACCTGAGAATCATCCCATACTAGTTTTCCATCATCGGTATTGTCTGTAAGGTCCTCTATTTCTTCTCCCACCACATTGTCAGCATTGATATCCATCTAATTACATAGTTTTAGTAAAAATGTGTTAAAAGGGTCATACATGCTCTAAAACTCTCCATCTTCCCCATTACCAAAATCTTAAATCGCAATACATAAGAGATATATAGATAATAGTGTATTTGTTTTGTTAAAATAAGTAATTAGGGAAGTTTTGACTATTAAAATGATTTGATATATTCAAACTGTATAGTTTTAGGAATTTTAACTTTATAAATTTAGATTTATGGAACACGGAAACAAGTTTATGATTATTTTCTTTTGCTTTCACCCTTCAAATTTAAGAGATTTTATAATTTCCTGTTTGTGTGATTATTACACTTTTTAATTTTTTTTTTTTTTAACTCTGTCTTTTTGGCTTTCTCTTTTCATATATATCTATATAATTATCAATAGATAACTTGGTAATTAGAAAAGGCACATTTTTCCAAAACAAATTAGAATCCAAAAGATAGACAGAGTATAGACAAATGCTTAATAATCACTCCATATTTTTAAAAATAGGAAAACTGATGAAAGTGGTAAGCAATTATGAGGAATGGGGTAGATCCCTCCTTTTCTGCATATGGTCTTAATTATGGAGTACACATTGGAGTCATTTCTTCTATCTGCATTTTCCAGTGATACAGCAATAAAGTTGCTCCAACTGGAAAATCAAAAACCACATGCCTCTATTATACCAAGTAAAACCGCTTTAATTTTCAAAAAAGAAACAAAAAAGTAAAATCGCTTTAACAACTGTTTTTTTTTATGGTCGATGAATAACCAAAATATCGAAATAGGGTTTGGTAAATTTTTTTCTTTTGTCAGGTTTTGAATAGATATCGTTTGTTGCAAGAGTCCAAACCGAAAATACCAAATTGATATTTCTCAAGACCTGTTTGACGATGGATTTGTCTCTTGTACGATGTGGGTATTTTATTATAAGGAAGCAAAACACTATTTGATAATTTTTGTTACAATTTGAGTAGTACCATGTTTATTGTCCGAAAAAAGGTCCAAATCCAAAACAATACCAAAAAAACCCTCTGAATGAACTTTTTTTAACCGGCCATTTTTTGTTTTTTCCAATTTTGCATAAATTTTTAACAAACATATTTTCATATTCATGCTTCCACAAATCTTGCAGTAAATTTTTCGTTACCAAGCATATTTTCAAATTCTAATCACTAGTAAACACACTTCAGGAAAAAAAAAAAATTTTGTTTCTAGTTTGAAAAAAAAAAAAAAAATAGGGGTTAAAGTCATAAAAGCTCCCTCAACTTTTAAAATCGTGCATAAAATTTCCAAACTCATAAAACTTATTAAGTTACCTCAAACTCCTATTTTTTTGCTCTGAGAATTTTCTCATCAATATGAACTGAAATAACATAAAAAATTGTAAGAAATCTCAACATACCAAGATGAGAGAGAAGAGGAAATAGAGAGAGAGCTTGGGTAAACCGAGAGTGCAGAGAGCAGCAGCGAAGCTTGGTTTCGCCGGAAAATGCAGAGGTGAGACAGACGGAGGTCAGATCTTCATACAAACATGGTCGATTTGAAGCCCGATCTTCAAACAACGGAATCCACGTTAGACAGAGCACAAGGAAAACCAGAAGAAGAAGCAGAGGAACTCACCAAAGAATGAAGAAGACGACCTTCAGATCTGATTCAACCCCACTGTAGTGACAAGAAGAGCACTATGACTCGCCTCTGGAACAGCTTGCTTCGTGAACCTTACAAAGTGTTCTGCGATTTTTTATAGCTGTGGTCAAAAGTGAGTATTTTGTTCTTCTCGCTACAGTATTATGTGGGCCGATACAGTATGGGAACAAGCAAGAACACCTATTTTTTGTTCCAACAATTGGCCCATTTTTGCCAAATGTTCCAGCACTGTTTAAAACAATACAAGCCATGCCAAACACGTTTTGGGCCAAAATAGTAGAATTTTGCACTGTTGGGAAGGGAGTAGAACATGGTAGAACAATGCTCAAACAGGCCCTAAGACTTCTTGGAATAGTCAAAGTTGTACTGAAATCCTCAAACATACCCAAATTTAAAATATGAATAACACAAACACATATATGATTGCATTTTTTAAAATTATGCATGCAGGCCACTGTAAATAGTTTTTGACAAGTTGATGATGCAATCTTTTTGTTATTGTCACTCCTCAATGAGTATTTGTAGTAGAGAGGATACGGGGGAATCTATTCTCATTATGTGCATCAAAATAGAGCCGTTTTGATGCACAAATTAAAAAGGAGTCCAACGTTTGTATTGGGGCTTCGCGACTGTGCATTAAAACGACATGATTTTAATGTACATAATTTCATCTGCATATGAGACAATTGAAAAGTTTAAAGTTTTTGACATTCCCAAATCGAAATATAGCTACAGAAACTATAGCAAACTCATGGGGAGCAAAAGGATTGATCTTTGAATTGTTCATTTGAAAATCGCTTAGATGTAGAAATTGAATGTTATGCTTTGCAACTATAGTAAGGAAAATATAAACGGAAAGGAAATTAGAAGAGTAAAATAAAAGGATAAAGACTAATTTCTCCCATATTTTAATGGGATTAGAAATTACAGAAATCTCAAAATGGTCAAAAGTAAGAAAAAAGGAAAAGGGTAATGACTTATTAGTAAAAATAAATAAATTCCCCCTTACTTTCCCTTTATTTTATTTTCTTTTGCTTTTTGTCATTGTAACCAAATTAACAAGGACATATTTTACACATTTCTTCTTCTTTCTCATTAATATATTAATCATCTATTTTAAATGAATTGATTTCGCTAAAGAAAAAGGACCGAATAAATAATCAGTCGAAAAGATAAGGATTGACAAAAAATAAAGTTCGTTTAAGTTAGAATTGATGTTACGTGAATGAGGTAGTGGGTTGGTCCAATTCGAACAACAAATTATTTTTCTTGTCCAATGTACCAAAATTGGGCTTCAACCTTCATAGTCACAACACATTTATTGCATACTTTCTTAGTTCTTAGTATGTACCATGACATAACTCTTTAAATGTCCAGTCAACTACTGCACCTCAACTCGTTTCAAAAAAAAAAAAAAACAGCTAGTTTTAGGTTCGAGTGACATTTTTATATTATAGAATTGACCCTTAAAAAAAAATAAAAATAAAAAATAAAAAATTACCCTAGTAGGCAAAGCAATATCCAAATGGGCTACATTAAAAAAAAACAAATATCCAAATGGGCCAACCTTCGGGAAAAAATATAAATGGGCCTATAATTTACCCAAAATAATAATGAAATGGGCCTATTAAAATAAGTCTTAACTCACCTTAAGAAATGAGTCACACCACAGATAGGGCCGTACGAAATGGGCTATTACGAAGGGAAAAATTATGGACCTACACAAGGGTAATTTGGTCATTCGAAGTTCGGCTGCCTCCAAATAAATATATGCGCTAGGGTTTTCCTCTTTCCGTCTCACTTCTCAAAACCCTAGCTCTTTCTCTCCGCACAGCCTCAGAGCAGCTTCTGCAGATCTCACCTCTGTGGTAAACAATTCACTGTTTAATCGAAGTCTTCTGATTCATAATCATTTTGTTTGTTCTGATATGCAATATTCGTTAGCACTGTTCGATTTGATTTGTCCGATCTCGTAGTTTCCATTTGTCTGATTATAATCGTGTTTGTCCTGTAAATGAATTGTGATTCTGTGTTTTTGGACATAGATGTTTGTGTTAATCTATATACATATGTATATGTATGTATATATATATGATATTTCCATTTGATTTATCTTGATCATCTCATGTTTTCTCCGTTTTTCACACTTGCTAAGTCTAACGTTAGAATTGATTTTTCTTTTTTACTTCACCCAACAGCTTTATCTTTGTGAATCGGTATATGCGTTTTGATCTACAATGTTCACGGAGTGAATGTTATGTTGTTGATCTTCGGAATTAAATTGCGATTGGGTTTCAAAAAAAAACCTACATTTGTGCTTCATTTGAACTGTTTGCAAGTTTTTTTTTTATTCCATTGCTATGGATATCAGGTAGAAAAAAAGTCTACCTCTCCATGTATTAAAATGATCTGTTGGGTAGGTTGAGTCGTTGAGGGTGATTTATAAAATTATAATGCAGTGGATATATGATGCTGGGAGGGTTTATATATATGTGTGTGTGTGTGTGTGTTAGTTCATAACACAAAGTTTTCTAAATGTGTCAATATCTAATTCTTTACTTTGTGATTGTTATGGTGGTAGTGGTTGAAATGTTTTTCTTTTCAAATGGGGTTGTCTCCTGGTGTTAGAAAAGGGCTTTCTCTGCATGTAATAAATTGTTATGGCAGAAATTGAGGTTTTAATTTTGAATCACCAAGCGGATGTGATGCGCCACTTTTGGTTTATAGCTAAAGCTTTTCTGTGTTATATCATGCTGAATGTTTAGAAACTAGATAATGTGATTTCTTGCCAGTGCATTTTTTAATAAATTTACCAAACTATGTGTATAACAGAATAATGGCAACAAAGGTTTTTCATAATATATTATCCTATATTATTGATGCAAGTTCAGTTTGCCATAATATATTTGTCTTGTTATATGTTTCTTATTGTCGCTGGACAATATAAGATCAGATATTTATTTGATACATTTCTTAAATTTCCTGCGACCTTTTTAGCAAATATGAGAGTTAGTGTTTTGAATGATGCTCTTAAGAGCATGTACAATGCTGAGAAGCGCGGAAAGCGTCAGGTCATGATTAGGCCATCCTCAAAAGTGATCATCAAGTTTCTTCTGGTGATGCAAAAGCATGGTATGGTCCTCTACTCCCACTGTAGATTATCTCACCTTTTTTAAAGTTGATTTAAATTTCCCTTTTTTTTTTTTTTTTTTCCAATGTAAATTACAATACCTGTTAATTGTCTGTGCCATCTTGATTCCTCCCTGTAGGATACATTGGGGAGTTTGAGTATGTTGATGATCACAGGTCTGGGAAAATTGTGGTCGAACTAAATGGAAGGCTAAACAAATGTGGGGTTATCAGTCCGCGATTTGATGTGGGTGTCAAAGAGATTGAACCATGGACTGCAAGGTTGCTCCCCTCGAGACAGGTGAACACATGAAACTACTTGTTAATTTTTATAGGAAACTGCTGGGACAGTGATTACTGAGCACTGAGAAGGCCGTCTATAGTATATGTCTTTTGATTAGGGATGTTCAGTATTAGGTGATATTGGTCATCAGATCAGGTTAATCAGATTTTTCTTCTTGATGGTTCTCGTAAGATTGCATTTCCATGTATTCTTCTGTCTTCTGTCTTTATTTAGATGCATGTCCGGAATCATAATATATTACATCAATTTTTTATTTTTTGGCTGATGTTACACGTATGGAATCCTGCAATGACCATTATTGGTTGAAAACTTGCAGTTTGGATACATTGTGCTGACGACTTCTGCTGGCATCATGGATCATGAAGAGGCCAGGAGAAAGAATGTTGGTGGTAAAGTGCTTGGTTTCTTTTACTAGACTGAGTTTGTCCAGGAACGATTCTGCATTATTCTGCTTATGAGGAAGTTTTTGATGTACTTCGGAACTTGTTTTCAATTAGGATAGTTCAATGTTCTATTTGATTCGTGCTTTGGTTTGAATGCTAGCAGAGTTTATTACCTGCTTCTTTAAAACATAAATTATGTTATTAATTTTGTTTACCTTCATTGGAAGAGCAGAAGATATTTGGTTTTTCAAACAGCTACCTATTTGATAGTTCTCTCCTTATTTAGCATGCCTATGGCATGTACATGCTTTACTAGTTCGCAACCATACAGGGGTAAGCTTCTATTTTTTAAATGATATGTCCAGACATAAATTATCCAGTATAATGCAAGCTTATACTCTTACATGTCATGCATGTTTGGTGATCATTGCATGTTTAAATTCCACAGTTGGGTGCAAAATTTAGTATTTGGCAACCTAAGGTATTCGGTTGGTTTGTGGCATTTTATTTATCAATTGGGTGAATGACCGTCTAAATCCTGCTTAAAGTAACACAGAATTTGGTGAAATATCGATCCTAATTTGTGGTGTGTGAGTTTAATACGGATCATTTGGGCATTATTGGGCGAGCATTTGGTCTAGACATGAATTGAGTAAATCCTATATAGAAAATGCACTTTGACAACTTCTACAGCTTACTCTTTTGCTTTTCTGATCTAGTGAATGGAACTCGCGATTGAGCTCTAAATATTAATCATAAGAGCTCTCTCTCTCTCTCTCTCTCTCTCTCGTATTTGTTGGGGAAGTTTTTGTTGGTGAATGGAAATTACTTTCTATCAGAGTTTTAAATTTTCTTGGTTATTTCATTGTTTTGGACCATGAGCCTTCTGAATCTTTTGATGATTAAGTGAGGCTGGCATAAATGACGCTAATGGTGATGAGCATCATAAGTCGGCGCTCGTGGTGGTTTAGGATCCACGCCACGAGGTTGAGCCCTGGGCCTCCCCGGACCCCGTGCGAGCCCAGTGTCCGCAACCTGTTCCCCAACCTGCTCATCCACCCCAATGTGACGAGATGGATTAGGATCCACGCCACGAGGTTGAGCCCTGGGCCTCCCTGGACCCCGTGCGAGCCCAGTGTCCGCAACCTGTTCCCCAACCTGCTCATCCACCCCAATGTGACGAGAAGACTCTCCGCGAGTCAAAACCATGGTGCTACATACATAAGGGACAAGGTCAACAACAACGTTAGTCGATAAGACCTAATGCAACTCACGCCATGAATACACAAGGTGGTAGGCATACCTCAGAAAATCACCATCTGGTATGCATTAAAAAGTTTTAGCTATTTGCAGTACAGAAAATGGAAAGGGTTTCAAATCTGTGACACTGGCATTTACCAACGTTTGAATTTATTTATATTCAAATGGAAATCCAGGTAAAAATTATAGTGAAAGCTATAAAATCTAAATGACTTCCTTTGTGAAAGGTGGGTGTATATCAGCGTGTAACTTTTTTAGCCAATAGACTTCTCAAACTTCAAGATTAAAGTCGTCGACTACCACACGAATTTGGCATCAAGCAGGCAATATGGATTTGTGAATGTAGTAAATAGCCTGAATTGATTACACAACTAACTCAATACAATTTTTTATTTATTTTTTCTTTCTTGAATGTGTTGTTTTTATTAATACAAAAAGGGTACAAAGAAGTACAAAACGAAATGTCCCCCAAACCTACAAACAAACAAAAAGAAAGAAGAAAAGCTACTAAAATAGCATTTGTCAATCACAGCCCTTGAGGTGACTCTCTTCTAATAGAAGAATTGAAAGACGGCAGATGTTACAATTATGGACAAACCATTTTCCCAAACACTTGCACCATAATCACAGGTCCGAAAGAGGTGGTCGTTTGAATCTTCTCCGAGAAAACAATATGGCAAATAGAAGGAAGAACCCTCTCCTCCTTGAATACAATTTAAACAAACTTATTGGCTTACATTTTATTGATAAGGATGGTTGTGCATTGACGAGATTGATAAGGATGGTTGTGCATTGACGAGGTTTCTCTCACGTTGAGGTCGCATTATTATCATTATTTTTGTATTAATCCCATATGAATAAAGTCGGTCAAATCAATTCTTTCCTCTCCAATTTTTTTACTAAATGTCATTTCACTTCATCCCATATTATTTCCAATCTCCCTCTCTATCTCTTACAAATAGTCTTCCTTGTTTAAGTCAAACGTCTCTGATTCTCCAACACTCTGATAAATCTATCCATACTAAGTCTACTCTATTTAATATTCTCACCAACCTAATTTTCTTCTCGAAAAGATGATCACATCTCTTTTACTCACGGTTATGTATCTCATCATTCTCAACTTCACAAATATTATTTCTCAACTGCAAAGCAAGTTCCATTGTTCAACAACCACCAAAGCTACACTTTCTAGATTATTTTGAGGAATAAAAAATAATAAAAAAATGAGTTAGTTACTTGTGAAGGTGTAAAAACTAAAAATTATACGTTTATAATAAAAAATAAATAAATGTTACAACGGTTCAACAAACCAATTAGAAAAAGAGAAAAAGAAAAGGTGTAATCAAGTGTATTAGGGCGTACAAGCAGACTCGGTCAATTGTCCGTCGTTGGATGGCAGTAATAAGTAGAGAGATGTAAACACGTATCAGACGCGGAGAGAGCAAACTCTGCGGAGATCCTTACTGAGTATCTAATATCTCCTGTCCCCGTGTCGCCGACGACTTGCTAATCCACTCACGGTGAGTCCTCTCTCTCTCTCTCTCTCTCTCTTTCTCCCTACATACAGACCTGTTCTGGCCTAAATGTCTAATCCTTTACATGCATCGATCATATATATACATCTGTTTATGAGGATGTATATTAACAATTTCATTTTTTTGGCGCAGAGACGGATCGGTTTCGTTTTTGCAGTGTTTACATTTGTTCTCTATATATATAATGGCCGCTCCACCAGCTAGGGCTCGTGCGGATTACGATTACTTAATAAAGCTCCTCCTCATTGGCGACAGCGGTTAGATTTCTATTCTACTTTATATTTTCTCCTATATTGAGTCCATATTTAGGTTTCAAATGGCAAAAATTTGTACAATTTCTAGATTTGTCTATTTGTTACATTTGATGTCTTCATATAGTTGTTGGATCTGATATATAATTGCTTATTGAGATCTGGGTTTGCAATAATTTTGTGCATTTTTTTTTAATGTGTCCATTAGTACATCAGATTGAGCTTAAGTTCACATTTTGCAATGATTAAATTTTATGTATGATGGGTAATGCTTTTGGTGGTGAATTGTGTGGCTTACATAGAAGCAGCTTGAAATAGACAACTTTTATCTTCACTTGTTTAATTATTAGGAACCACTTGGTGCAATGGTGAAAGGTTTGGGCTACCAAGCCAGGGAATATAGGTTTGAGTCTAATTGCAGCCACTTTGTGCAAAAGTAGTGTCAAATGTTAGGTTTATATGCAGTTTCCCTCTTTCAGCATCCCGACATTGGGTAATGGCATTGTAGTTCTGCTGTGATGGAGAGTTTCTGTATGGGTTTCTAGATTTTAATGTTAGTTAAAGAGTTAAGTGCTACTTGATACCCATCAAAACCATATTAAACACAAACCCTCTGCAAATATAAACTGAAGATCGCATCAAAAATAAGGAATTCTTATTACGAAACCATTTATTCTGATCTAACTTCTAAGATATTTTCTTTTACTCCTTTTTTTTTATTTTTTATTTTTTTTTTGGGAGGCAAGGGTCAGTCAGAAAGCAAAACAAAATAAATGAATAAAATAAAATAAGAACTTGCTTCTCAGTCAAAGCAAGATGTTAGTGCTTTTCGATGTAAAAACCTGGGTGTCTATGCTAGCTTTTCTTCTTATTGGATTTTACCAAATATGCTTTAAACAAAATTTTCAATTATTATTTTTTTTTTTGCCAGCAAAAAAATTGATTGATCACTTTTGTTTTTCTATAAATACTTTAAGATAGCTCCACCAAGCAATGCTAAAATTTCTTTTAAATTTCAAAACAAATATGAAGTAGAAATAGGATGTGATTATTCAGAAATGACTAACTGGCATTATGTTGGTGGTCGCATCACTCCATTGAACACTGCACTAGTAATTCTGCAAGTTACTTGATCACATGAACTGTTTGAGTCGTTATCGCTTCAATATAGTTGTGAAATTTTCAATGCTTTATTATATATTTGTGATAGTTCATATTAACATTAAGGTTGTTGAATTGTTAAGTTAGCTAACTTGAACACAAACTCGGTTGCTTATGAACTAATATGAACAGAGTATTGTTATTGAATTACCTTAGACATTAGACCAAAGTTTGACTTTTTTAAGAGGAATCAGCCGGTTAGCTGATCTATGTATTTGTTATTATATTATTAATTCTCTCTTGCACACATCAAAATTTAAATATGGCATTAATTAAATCTAACACTCAACTGTTCACCGAACTTGTTAGGGCAATCAGATTTTTTTTCTAAATATCAACATATGATTGCTTAAAAAAATCAGTTCTATGAAGCATGGATACTTCAGTTAGGTTGACGTACCTGTATCCTCGGATGCTGACGGATACATGTCCAATACTTCTTATGTCCATAATTTTAATATATATATATATATATATATATATATATATGACAATTATCCAATACTTCGCAGACACTTTGACCACGCATATGATACTCCTCGAAGCTTCAGAAGATATATTTATCTAGCTTTGAACGTTAAAATGTAATTTTTCCAAGATACTGTTATGGTATATATATTTGCACTTAAGAGGAGTCGAACCTTAGATTTTTTGATGCTTCCTGAGGCACGAAAGCCAAGTGACTTACCTACTTGAGCCAACCCTTTGGGGTTTACTCTAATAGTATAATTGTTAAGACCAGTTTCAAATTTCTTCTAAAAAGAAGTATTAATAGATATGAATAATTTAGTTCAAAGTTTTTCCATTCAAAATAACTCTCAGTTCATCTTGTTCATCATAAGTTTATAATAAGAAATGTTAATAACAATATATATAGCATAAACAATTACTATTTGAATTTTTATCCATAGATACATATATATTTATTTTTTATGTATCTAGGTTTATATAATATATATTATTGTGTCCTTGTTGTAACAGCCTCTCCACATGCAGAGGTAGGGCTGTGAACATCTAACCCTCCTTAAACGCCGCAATGGTAGGAGCCTTGTGCACTGGGTTTGCCTTTATTTTTATTTTTTTTGTCCTTGCTGTATCTGTATTCTCTTTTTAAAGAAATCATTGTATCCGTATCATGTCGTGTCCGTATTCTGTGTCTTTGTCCATGCTTCATTATATTAGATATGTTCTTTTAATGTTAAGGTAATCACCATCTAACTAGAATATCAAGGACTAAAGTGTTTTACGTTTCAGCTAGTAATCTATCAAAACTTTTTGAAAGGTTGTTAAATATTATGAGTGTGGAGTACATATATACTCAATTGATGAATGTAGTATAGATAAATAATACTTCTGGAAAAAGCTCAGGACCAAGGCTGAGGTTTGGAATTGTATAGAGACACCTTCCAGTTCCAATTTAGTAATAAGTCTTAATGCTTGACACATGATTACATGGATGCAACGCAATAGGAATTGACATAGTTTGGATTTTATGTTCCATGATTGCTGCCTTTTTTTTATTTTATTTTTTTTATAATAAGTGTATGTTTGGAACTTTATATTCTGACTTTTACTCTGGAGTTGGGATTATGAACCTCATCAAAGCTAGTTTGCAGAGATTCCCTTTGTTTGTTTAAATTTTGAAACAACTACTATGGTTTTGATCTATAATTGTGTGTGAGTTGGAATTGATGCAAATTATTGTTGGTAACCTCATATTAGTTGTGTTTTGGTTTGGAGGCAGCATGGCACAATGGGTTGTTGGTTATTCATTTTGACGGCTTTATCACCCGACATTTAGTTTCTCCTCGTATTTTATGATATATTGAGTGCAATTATACTCATAAGTTGTACACTTCTGTGCATTTGAAATACGCGTGTATCACATATCAGTCAAAAATTGGTTCCATATTTCATATAAAAGTTGGCTCAAGGCATTTTTATCGTTATACTTCAGGCGACTTTTTATTTATTTATTTATGTTTTTCAAGATGTGTTGTCATATTACTGCAGGGAATGGTGTTAGTGTTTTGTTTGAGCATTGTGTGGGTAATAGTAAGTTTATAGTTCATTGTCCGTGTTATTTTACTTTGATCTTCCATCAACATGTGCTTTGCATAACGATAATTGCTCTTGCCACAATGGGTCGGTGTAGGGATGCAAATGAACTGAGCCGAGCTTTGACATGTTCAAGCTCTGCTTGCCAAAGCCAGGGAGGTGCTTGGGCCCGGCTCAGGTTTGAACGATCTTGATCTAGCCGAGCTTGAGCTTGGTTCATTAGTAATCCAACAAGCTTGGACTCGACTCAACTTGAGTTCATTTGTCCCAACACATACAATCTCAAGTTAGAGGTATACTAACAAAGGTTTATAAATACTGTACAAAGGCATGCACAGATTATACACAAAGCTTCACGTATGCAAACAAACCATTCATATATATAGAATTACATATATATATATATAGAATTACATATATACATACTTGAAAGTTGGAGGAACTTGCCAATGTGTAGTCAACCGTTCTCCTTCCGTCCATTGCATCTCCTCAAGAAAAATACTAATGGTTATCATCGGGGAAAGAGAGGAATGAGAGACTGAAGGACTGGATGGAGAAGGCGGTTGTCAGTGACTGGGGAAACTATTTTTTTTTCCTGAATGAGTGACTAGGGAAAGTAGAGATGACAGTGACGCTAGGGGCATGAGATTACGACAGATGAGAATGGGATAGATTAGGGTTACTTAATTGTGGATGCATGGACATTAGTTGGATTAGTGAAGGGAACATGGGCCATTTTTGTTGGGCTTGTTATTTGGTTTACTATATCTTTTCACATATGGGCTTACATATATGATTGGAATGAGCTTATTGGTTTAATGCAGGCTTGGAAGTATCATTTTTATTGGACTAATCTTGTGCTAAAATAACACTAACTATGAGTAGATGATGTTCACGAGCCTAGTGAGCCGAGCCTAACATTGTTCAGGATCGACTCATTTGTCAAACGAGCTAAAAAATCGAGTTTGAGCCAGCTGGTTTATTTAATAAACGAGCCCAACCGAGATTTTAATGAGTCCCCGAGTTGTTCATGGACAACTCAATTCATTTGCATCCTAGGTCAGTGGATCACCTCAATATAGCTTATATTTTTGCAATATCTGCTTCTTGTTTTGTTTCTGTTTTCCTCGGTAAATGCTCTACTTGTTCATAAAAGGGCCAACATTTTTCGTGTCTCTTTGGCTTGCAAAACTACAGTATTTTTTATTTGTTTATTTTATTCTAGGTTGAAGTTGTCATATTTTTTAGCACGAACACCAGAGAGTATCTGCTTCTAATTAATCTAATTGCATGTCAGTTGTCAAAGAAACCTTTATAGTTCCTTTTTGTGTTGCTAGCACTTCTCTCTAATTTTCCATGTGGAAGTGATAGTGTGAATTCATTTGCACTCTTGGGATTTTTTATTTTTAAAATTTTTTTATTTGAAGTTTTTTACCTGTGTATTGTGTTAATCGACATGTTAGTACTTGGTTCTTAGTCTGCCTGAACTTGTGATTTATATATATTTTTACATTCTTATAAAATGTCTTTGCAGGTGTGGGGAAGAGTTGCCTGCTTTTGCGGTTTTCAGATGGTTCCTTCACAACAAGTTTCATTACGACCATTGGGTTTGTATTGTGGAAAAACCTAGATCCTTCGTATCTCAGATTTGCTCAGCATGATACTGTATGGATGTGGATACCAAGAGGACTATAAATAGTCAGTAATAATTGGACCTGCCTAATGCAATGTAAAAATGAACGATGATCAGATGATTATCAAGTCATTTATCATCTAGTTTTACTCTATATATCTGCTGGTTAAAAAACTTTAATTGAAGTGATAGATGTTCAAAAGTCGATGGATGCAGTCTTCCTATCATGCTAAAACAAAATAATGTATTTGAAAAATCTCTTAGGTGGAGGTCTGTTGGTGGCTCCAGAACTAATGTTCGTATGCACTCATATGCAATACGTTCAAGGACCCATTGATTTTTTGAGGCTGAGTTTAATGTTTCTACTTTCGAAAATTGTTTCTGAATATACAGTAATATCTTAATATGGCAGCATTGATTTCAAGATAAGAACTATTGAGCTTGATGGTAAACGGATTAAGTTGCAAATTTGGGATACAGCTGGTCAGGAGCGGTTTCGGACTATCACAACAGGTGTGTGGTATGAAACTAGTAAAAATTATGACTCTAAAGCACTGAATGATGTATTAACTTTGATTGTTAGAATCCTATAATCAGGTTGATATGCAGATGCGGAGAGAAATAAACTTTCAATCTCATATCAGTTGGTTACTTGTTTCCTATACATGTTTACTTACCGATTTATGGTCTTACGGATGTTCCATTCCAATTTTTGGTTACTGTTTTTAATTTTTTGGTCCTAAGCTGTATTTTGTATTGTCTTAACTTGGTTCGGAAGTTTACTTCAAGTACCTTGTCTATTTTGCAGCTTACTACCGAGGAGCCATGGGTATCTTGCTGGTATATGATGTCACAGATGAGTCATCTTTCAACAGTAACTACTCATCTTATCCTATCTTTGCTATCTTAACTTTATGTTGCAATGCGTGTTTGATTGGTTATATAATTTTCCATTTCCATCCACTTGATTCATCGGTCTTTTCTTAATTGAGCATGTACTGCTTGCATTTATTCTTTTTTGGTGGCCATGGTAAGCATTAGAACTGGTTTTTCATGATTCAGATCTGTAGTTCCATTGAGCTGGATGGTGTAGGAGTTGCACCTGGCTTTTATGGGACAGAGCTTCACCCATATTCTATGGACTTGCTGCTTCAATAATTTTTAATTTTCTTCCACTTCTTCATTGAGCTAAGCTTTTCTTCATGTTCAGACATTAGGAACTGGATTCGCAACATAGAACAACATGCTTCTGATAATGTCAACAAGATACTGGTGGGTAACAAAGCTGACATGGACGAAAGCAAGAGGGTAGGCTGTTGACCTGTGATTATTTAGTTATGGCTTTATGGGAATTGCTTTCCTTCATCAATTTCCTTTTTCTTTTTTCCTTTTTCAAAATCTGGTTGGTTCGAATGTGGAGCATATGGTGTTTTTTGCTGCATAACTGAAAATTTCAGTTCAAGCCCATATATATGCCCGTCCCACCATGGGGAAAAAGATGAATTGTGACAGACTTTTTACCTCCTTAATTCCTTATAGCCAATCCATATGTACAGGCACTATTACCTTTCATTTGCCATCTCCATAACACATATCCATAACCAGCAAGGTTGTTCTTTTTTCGTTTTCCCAGGCTGTTCCCACCTCCAAGGGTCAAGCTCTTGCTGATGAGTATAATATCAAGTTCTTTGAAACAGTAAGTAGAGATTTTCTACCACAATTGGATCCCTTTAGAAATCATCGGTTTCTCTTTGTTTACTACTGTGAGATAATGTGCTGCAGAGTGCAAAGACGAATATGAATGTGGAGGAGGTTTTCTTTTCAATAGGAAGGGATATAAAGAAGAGGCTGGCGGAAACTGATTCCAAGGCTGAGGTATATATTCAGTTCCTTCCACCATCCTTTTTCTTATATCGAGAAAAGGTGTAGCCAACTGCTGTTCAAGGGATCACTGATTTATATTTCTATTTTCAAATGTCTTTGTATCTATATATTTGGTTGGTGGTTGCAGCCTCAGACAATTAGGATCAACCAACCAGACCAGGCGTCTAGCAGTGGTCAAGCCGCCCAGAAATCTGCCTGCTGTGGTTCATAATTCGGATAAAAACATTGTTAGAGGGGAAGGGTCCTGCAAGTGGCACTTTGAGGGTGCAAAAACTAACAGTTGATGACGAAATGGCCGTCCACGACTCTATTGCCCTACTTATTTATACGACCAATACTTGCATTAAGAAGTTGTTATTTTGCTTTGATTTGTGGAGTTTACTATATGATTTTTCCCTTCATCCCTCTTCTGGCTTATTTTATTCTTGTTTTCCCCCTTCGTTTAATTTTATTTTTGTTTATTTTAACCCCTTGCGGAACTTGTGGTTATGGATTCTTAATAGTGGGTTTGTGGATTTGATGTAAGATAAATAGAAGAATCCTTCTGATCTTTCAAGCAATCTAGGATGTTATATGTGCTTGTTATTGTAATTGGTATTATCATAGAATAATTATTAAGTATGATTTTTGGCTCAGTTTATTTTAACCTAAAATAATTTTCATCTTAAAAGCTTTCACTTGTAAAATATTTTTTCTTTAATTATTTTCCGATGTTTGGCTTGGGTTTAGATGTGTGTGTATATTGAAAAAAAAGAAAAAAAAAAATCTCGGATGAACTAAAAAAAAATTGCAACTGTTCAATTGAGTTTAATAGATAATAAGGGTCCGAGTCTTCAAAAGAGAGAGTGGGTGAGAGCAAAGTGTGGGTGTGTGTCTTATCAATGGCCAAAAAAAAAAAAAAAAAAAAAAAAATGGAACCAAATTACATACATATTCTTGTACTTCTATACCTTCGTACACGTGTAAAGTGTAAACACACAAGTATAACAGCACACACGGAGGCGAAAACTTCAACTTCTGAAATATTTGTAAAAGCAGAGGCCAATCAAAAGTTTGAATGGAGGACTGAAGCCAAGAACACATCATTGACTTTGAGTCTGGGTGTCTTGAATTTAAAATTAAATAAATTTAGTTCAAATTTTCAATTAAATTTCTTCTAACCCAATTAGCAACTCCTAGTTATATATTAGAGGTGAGGAAGAAAAGCTTACCCATTCGAAAAAAAAAAAAAAACTAAAATAAAAATAAAAAATAAAAAAAAACTCCTATTTATATGGCCCACTAACAATTATCTTTTCCCAACCCAACACAAAAAAATAATAATAATAACACAATAGAATAAGACATCAATTGGGCCTTAATTTGGTTTTATTTCCAAGGCCCAATGGGTATTATGATTTTCGTATATACATACATATAATAGATAGAGATAATATTATATGAGCCTACTAAAGTAAAGTCAAATCATTAAACCCAAGTAAAATGTGGTTTTCAAGTTCACACTTAAACAATAGTTTTGTTAGGGGTGATCACAGATTGAATCGGATTAGGCATCAATTCTAATTCAATTCGTTCTCAACTGATTAAGCAAATCTTAATCCGTTACCGATTCGTTATCCCACGAATTAAATTTAATCTAAATTATCTATTATTATTATTATTTTTTATAATTAATATTATTTATTATTTATTTGTCTTTTAACCGTAACTCAATAGATAAAATTTTAATTTATTTATATTAAATCATATATTTAAATAATTATTAACTAATACATCTTTAGAATCTATTAAATTGTCATTAACTAATTAAATTAACTAATATATTATTTGAAATATATATATATAAATTTCACGGATCGGATTGGATTAGATTTTTAATAGCCTAATCCGTGATTCGATTCGTGAGTTACAAATTCAATTTTTTTTAATCCACCACCGATCTGTGAGTGTAACAATCCAATCTGATCCACACGGATCAAACCAAATCGGATCAGATTCACAGATTATTTGCCCACCCCTAAGTCTTGCTATTTGGCTTGATAAATAAAAAACATGCTACTTCACCGAGTCTATATGGTTACCCAAATATAATGGATTCATTTTAAAATAAAGGCAAAAGTTCAAAAAAACCCTAAACTATCACAAAAAGTGAAAAATACCCCCTGAACTATCTAGGGTTACAAATTGAACTCTCATCTATACCAACGTTGCAAAAATGACCCTCCCGGTCATTGGACCACATTTTTTGGCGCCCAGAGAGTCAAAAGTATCAAATAACCCCCACTTATTAATTTATATAAAAATTGTAAAATGTCATAAATGTGTAATACCCATAATACCATTCAGGGCATTATTACAACTAATCAATAATTCAGGGTTTTTTTTTTTACAATTTTGCTTAATAATAATAAACAATATCAATAATAATAATAATAATTATTATTATTAATAACTAATAATAATAGTAGTAGCAATACTACTAATAATAATAATAAATAAATTGCTTAGTTGCAAGATATGTGAATCACTTTTAGCCTATGCGAATTAACAATAACAATAATAATAATAACAATAATAATAATAGTAGTAGCGGTAGTGGTAAAATTTAAAATAATAACAAAAATAAATTGTTTGATGGATCCATATACCTATAAATAATTTTTCAAGCTCATAAATTATCAAAAAAAAAAAAAAAAAAAAAAAAAAAAAAAAAAAAAAAACAAATAAATTAATTAAAAAAAATGATGATAGTAAATATGAAAATACTTTTTAAAGTGAAAAATTAGGCGAATTTTCATTTGTTTTAAAATATCTTCCTTGAAAAATATTTTTTATATAAAACCTTTTGAGATAAAATACATATTTTTTAAATTTATTTTTCGGTGTTTGGCAAAGGTCCTGAAATTTTTTTTCAGAACAAAAGCATAAGTTATTTTTTGTTAGGTTTTGGTAAATTATTTTACTCAGTAAATATTTTACTTAAATTTTGGACAACCAAATACCAAAAAATAAAAAATATTTTCCATTCAAACAAATAAAAGCCCAAAACAATAGTAAAGAAATAGAATATTAATGAGCTAATGTAACACGTGGAATCCACATAAATTCGTAATCTATCTATTGGTCACTTTCTTTTTGAATCGGTTAGTTTGGTATTTACTCGTGTACATATATATAATTAATAAAATTAAATATTTCTGCTGTACTTTTTTGTTTTTGGCGCACTGTTAGTCCGTTGCAGATATTATTATTATTTACCCCCATAAAATACAGATATTACTATTACACAGTCAACTCAACTAACACATCATATTTTTTTTTAATTTATTTATTTTTTGATAATTTATGAGCTTGCAAAAAATATTTATAGGTATATTGATCCATCAAGTAACTAATCAAGAAATTTATTTTTGTAATAATTTTAAAATTTTATTATCATTACTACTACTACTACTAATACTATTATTATTACTCTCTCCATCCCAATTTAAGTGTCGCTTATGGGAAGTAGTAATTTTTAAAGGGACATGTGGTACATGCATTGTCTGCCTAGAAAATTACTAATTTGCCCTTTTAAGTTTTGAATATTCAAATTTGAAATTTTAAACTCAAAGAACATATATGAAAAGATATAAAATATGTTGTTTGAAAAAGAAAAATGGACTATTATTTTGGGACAGAAAAAAAAAAAGAAAGTATGACATCTATTTTGAGATGGAGGGAGTATTATTATTATTTTTATTAGTTAATTTGCAGGGGCTAAAAGTGATTCACATAACGTGCAACTAAACAATTTATTTTTTTTATTTTACTATTATTATTTGTTACCCAAGTATTTACCCCGGGGGGGGGGGGGGGGGGGTGGTGAATAAGGTCATTGGCAAACTATGGAACTTTTTCGATTTAGCTTCTCTAAGCTCATTTTACTTGTCTCTTTACTTTAGAGCCAAATATGATTCATTATGATGAATGCTCTTCTAGTGAGTTGTAGTGTAGATATCACTTAATATTCAGAATGTAAAATAATGAGCTTACTACACTTGAGTAGATTGCTTTAGCAAATGACCAATTCATTTTATACATCGAATCATATGAATTAGTCATACAATTAAGTGTGATCATCATTGATTCAAATAAATGAATTCTTTTAAGCTTCAATGCATTCAATTGAACAAACTATTTAGAATTAGCATTTGCAAAATTTTGATGTGAATAATATTCAAAGTGCAAATGTCATAAAACACATCATCATAGAGCTTATAACAAATTTATCAAACACTTGGTGTACATATAAACTCTAAATATGAAGGTTGTGTTGAATATGCATTTTGTTAAACACTTGATGTGCAACATGATTTTAGCTATATAGGAATCAAATATAGAACATATAGTCTAAGCTAAAATCAATCATGCACTCAACTTAATCCAAGCATTCATCCCATCCTCCTCATACAATTAATTAAACTTAACATACTAGTTAATTGATTTATATAACTCATTCTGCTCAAAATAAACTAAACATTTGATATATAAAGATTGAGCAAATAAAGATGCAATCAAATGTAAAGAGAGTGGAGATTAGAGAGTAGAAAAATTTCAAACCAAGGGACACACGATGTACATGGTTCGGCACAAGCTTAGCCTACATCCATACCTTGAGAAAACCTCTCAAGGATTCCATTACGACACCTTCTTACTGGTGGAAAACAAACATTTTCATGTTCTTACTTGTGGGTGAAGAACCGACCTTATAATGAAGCCATCTCGCTTCTCCTTCTTTTGACGGCTAAGAAGAACCATTGGTCACTCTTACGGGTGGAGAGCTCTACCAAATCCTCTCATTAGAGAGATACCTTCTCTCTTTTATGGGTAAAGAAAGAAAACCTTTACAATATCTTAAACAAGCTTTCCCTTGCCAAGAAAACCTCTTGGTCTTCTTCTCTCAAAAAGAGATATATGATGAAACTTACAATGAATGTCTCTCAAATAGACAAATATACAAATCAAAACTTTCATACTTAGAGTTACAAATGAAATAATCAAATGAAAGCTCAACTCTAAATTTGCAAGATGAATCACATGAATGATATGAAATTCATGCTTCAATGGTAATTCCTAGAAGATATTTCTATCAAGAATGATAGTCAAGTTCCATCCCCAAAGGGAGATCTCTCTATGGGTCTCTTGCATTCCCACAATGTCCATACATTGTATATTTATAGGCCTTTGGAAGAATATAGCTGTTTGGGGGCAATATGGTAAGTTCCCATGAGGCCAAATCGTCAAAATAGCCGTTGGGAAGCTTCTACCCATACATCTAACTGGTTACAAGGCTTAAACTACTCGAATGGATGAGATTCAAATCTCATCTAACCGGTTACAAGATTTGTCTAACTGGTTACATGAAGGTAAATGCCCGAAGTCATTTATTTGGTTTAGTTCAACTGATCGATTACTTTGTGTGAACTAACCGATTACTTCATGTTAACTACTCGGTTACATGCTCTATCTAAATGGTTACATCATGTGTTCTAGAGAACATCTTTCTTTGCCTCAATGCATCTAATTGGTTAGATAATTCATTCTAACTGGTTACATGGTCATTAGATTTAAGTAGATGTCTTTACTATTTTTA